CACGGTTCGTCATAAGTCAGTCATCCCCACTCGCATTCCAAAACGTGTCCCGCCTCTCCCGAAACATTTTTGTTGTTTGTGATTGTGGTATTTTTGTTTGCTTTTATTTTTAAAACTTTCCATTCGATATTTGGACAGTGGAGGAGATGAGGCCCTTACCATGGTGTGGTTGCCTGCATACCATGGTAAGGACTTGACAACTAAGCCTGTTGTTCGCTGAGAAGCCCAGGTATGAAGAAGCCACCGTTCGTATAGTCTGTACCCTGGCTGCAAATCGAGGAACACTAATGTTCACGGTTTACGTAACACCCCAGCGTTTGGAGTCCCTTAAGTCGACATTCTGCAAGAGTTGGTTATAGCCCTTGTATGGAACCCCAAATTTTGATAGAGGCATAGTTTTCAAGTCCAAATCGCCATCAAAATAATGCATTGTCACTCAGCCTTTTACCAAGGCAACACTTGCTATAATTTCAATATATCATAATCTTTTTATGCATCACAAAGATTTGTCATCTCCACAGGTATTATGGGATTCATTTATTATATAATTTGTTTAATGACATTGCTTGTCATTCTGAGAAAATACAATTTGAATACATTTCAGCAAACTACTCAAATTACTCATTTTCGTTCGTTATGAACCGCTCTCACATAACCATAATAAACGTGACCCATCCAAATTTGCTTCGTAATTTTTATTTATTTTTATTTTATTCCGAGATTCTGTGTCTAATAATTATAATTTCATCAAAATATGAACATTTTTAATAAGGCAACGCCTTAAAATTCTGGCCCTGAGCCAAAGGTCAAATAATGTACAGCGAGCAAATCAAAGTGAGGTAGAGAGAGAGGGAGAGCGGGGCAGAGAGAGAGAGAGAGAGAGAATGAAAGTTTCGAGTATTAGCAACCAAATTTAGATATTGCATCATTGTGCTGAGGCGGTTGCTGACTTCGTATTTGCAACAATTAAAGTTTTTTTTTGAGCTTCCAGCAGTTAAGTCGTTAAAAGCAACTGAAAGCCACCATCACCACCTCGGCCACTACAACTCTTCATTTTGGAATCTGACACAAACAACAACAACGACAATAAAAGTGAACAAAAGAAACACGCGTAAATATTTTGCATGTTTTTCCAGCTTATCTGCATATTTTTGTTTTATTGCGGTTGGAAATCTCCTCTCCTCAGTTAGTAGCCGGCCAAAGCCATCATTCATCTCCAATGACCAACAATGACAAAAAAAACAACAATGAAATACTATCTTTTTCTATATGACATAGTCATCATCATCCTCGTCAGAGCCATCGCCATTGCCAGAAACGCCGACAACGCCAGCAATGATTTGTTGTCGTAGATGTGGCATCCTTATAGCGAATATTATGGACACTCAAGGACATCATTGCTGTTGAAACGCAGTGATTTCATTTTTAGATTGTAAGATTGGATGAAATGTAATGTCGTTACATTCCAAGCAGTTAGTCAGTCCGTCAGTCAGTCCGTCACAATAATGACAACAATAACAACAAACAAATCGAAAAGTAATAATATATGCGGCATACATTTATATAATTTATTCGAAGCATACGCCAACCAGTCATCCATCTGCAGCAGAACCACCCATTTATCCATACATCCATCCATCTATCTATTCATCCATTCGCATACCTATCATTTACATTGATTTTCCACAATTGTTTCATTTTCATGAAAATGTGTTTTCTTTTTTATTTACATTTTATTTGTGTTCTCGTCTGATCTGTTTTTTTTTTACTTTCCATTCCACCAATGTTTCTCAATTTCATCATTGGCCTTGAAAGGTTCTTTCATATGGCAGGCATGAATAGGAGGAAACGAAGAAGAATGGACGAACCAAAGCCATGTGGATGATGAAAATCTTTTTAATTTAGAAAATATCCTTTTTGAGCGCAAGCGATTTTAATAACAAGCCTGGCAAACGAAATTGGGGAACAAAGTAAAGAAGAGCGTCGAAAGGGGGTGGGGTGGACTCTAAATTGACGAAAGCTGATTAAGCTTTTAACTAACGGCTCAAGAACGCAACAATAGAAACTCGTTTATCCTTAGATTGTTAAGAACAAAGGCGTAGTGGGTGTGAAAAGGACATTAAATTTAATATAAATAATATTTATGAAATGGATTTTTGTAAAGAGGCATACAATTAAAATTATAAATCCCAAAAAAAAAAAAAATAGAGAGTCAGCCATAAGGCTACAGAGGGTATATATCATTTGATACGCCCAAAACGTTCCTCATCGAAATAACGGTTTTAGACCTTAGGTCTCACTACCATCGAGTTCGGAGAGGAGCAATATCGGCCCCTCCTTCTGGTATCTCCCACACCAAAGGTAAAATTTTACTGCACAGAAAGAGAAATTGTAATCCGATTTTGCTCCATCTTTGCAAATCTTATATATTTGCATCAGTGCTAGGTCACGTGTGAAAATGGACAATATTAGCTCCCTCCATCAAGTACCTCCCCCACAAAGTGTCAAAACGTCAGAAATTAACATCAATATTTCTATCAGCACAAGATCTGTTCTAAAGATCTCCCACAAAGGTTCACAATTTTCAATACTTTTATCTGTCATAACTTGCGAAAAAGTCAGCGATTATTTATACCTATAGAATTTAGGATTTTCCATAAATTGCATATAAATATACGATTTTTTTGTAATATTGCCCATACCAATATTTTTATTTTTATTAAATGAAAAATGAAAATGTAATACTTCGGTCGACTATGTCTGGTACCTCACGCACATGTTACAATTTTCTGAAAATTATCATATATGTCATGTAAAGTGAAGGAAGTGACCAATATAGTCCAAGCCTGGCACGTCGCAATATTTATGTCATATTTATTTAGGTCCGATACGAAATGGCCCATTTTTAAATAATTGTACCTTGGCTGAAGGTATTCAGCTGATACTTTTATACTTTTTAATACTCACTACTTGCCTAATTATAATTATAATTATATATATATATATATATATATATATATATACATTTTTTTTTAATTGTATATATATATATATATATATATATATATATATATATATATATATATATATATATTAAAATAGTTCAAAATGTACAAAAGTACAAAAAGAAGAGTGGACGTGTGTTTTGTGAAAATTGATATGCATATATATATATATATATATATATATATATATATGTACTTTTGTACATTTTGAACTTTTAATATTTTTTCAGAAGTACGTATATAACACCTGATTATGGTTGAGGCAACGCTAATCGATAACATTTAATGAGAGTGCGGTTCAAGTTATGGACATGGCTACGGCGATGTTGTGTGTCACGTTGAACATTAAACACTAGAAGTTTTTCTTGCATAGATCTCAAATATCACCACATAGAGGCTTGTCAACGAATGTAATTTAGGATCTTGTATGTTACGTCTAACAAGAGTGATTCTCTCTCACATCCTAAATCATAATTATCCTATCTAGAACAAAAACAAACGTTGTTGGTTGAAACTTTGTGGATCGTAATATTTATATCAGATATCGAAAATATCGGTCCATCGATGATTTGGTCTAGCCAATGCTTGCGATGTGGACATAAATGGCAAGCCAAAACAGTTTGATGATGAGGAATCAGAAGTATTGCTCTACGAATATTTTGTGAAACAGTAGAAGGCCTTGCATTATCATCAGGTGTCACACAAATTTAATTTAATTTGAATTCAATTCCTTCAATAGCAGGTCACAAATACTGCTTGAAATCTACTAAAAATCGATTTCCTATTGTTTCGCAATTAATTGAAAAACTAATGAAATAAAAAAAACATTAAGTTCAACGATTGTTATCTATTCCAAATTTGAAAATATTTCGTAGGTAAATGTGACTAGGATTATCCAAATACCGAGTATCGGTGGGTACCGTAATATGTGCGCTATAGGAAAACGTGACCCATTATGACCTACAAATCCTAATATTTCAAAATCTGTGGAAAATCCATCAAAATACCAAGTATTGGGAGGTACCGTTATATGGGGGCTACACCAAAACTTGGACCGATATATCTCATTTTCAATACAAACCATCCTAGTCACAATACTAATTGTGGTGCCAAATTTTGAAGCTCTACGTCCGATATTTTGGGCTGTGTCGTCATTTCAACAGACAGACGACTCTGAATTTTATGCTGATTATGAATATATACACTTTATGACGAATATTTAGGGATCTTACAAACGGAATGATAAAATTAATAAAATTAATTCAAGGTGGAGGGTATAAAAATCAATCCATGTAAGGGAAATATAGTATGATACGGTATATTCCCACAAAGGGACACAATTTTGAAAAATCATGACTCACATACAATTTATATTTAGTTTCCGATTTTCCACAAACTTATAATTTGTCGAAGCAAGTTATAGATATTCTCGTTCAGTAACTCTCCCAGACGGGGACGTGCTGACACAAATCTGAAACATCAAATTAATTCATTAAAATTTTCTTTGGTTTATGATTATGATTGTTCAAAATGTTGACCCTTTATAGAGAAGGTACCAGAAGGACAGGTCCGAAGGTTTTGCGTTGGTTAAAATATTGGAATGTGCCAAGTTTAAAAAGAATCGAATGCTCATTATGTGAGAGTTATAGGTATCTAAAATTTTGACCACAGGCAGTGGTTCGATCTGTACCATCCCCATACCAGACCAAGATATGGGATATGCAAAATTTCAATAAAATCCCACTCTTATTTCACAATTTTTGAATCTCAACACATATTCTTAAGAATTATCTTAGTTTTTTGTTTATTTTGTAGAATTTTCATTTCGACTATGAATCAATTTCTTGCTTTTTTGGTTAAACGATATATATACAATCCTTCTAATTGCAGAGGATATTCACAGGTTCTATTTACTTTTTCTCCCAGTCTTGTGCTTTTTTACACCATTAATCTATATTTTAATTTACTTTTTCTCTCCCTCTTCTTTCATTTTAGAAATGGAAATCATTCCTGAAGGCAGACACTTCCGTTTGGTGCAAGAATCAGAGCTTCCCGAAATATTGGAGTATTTAGAACGCTTTCTGCCGGAATCACTAAAGGTAAAAAATTAATTTGATCTCACCTTTGCGTTTTGTTTCTCAATGGTGGCGATACGGGGTAAAGTTTTGTTAAAGTTCGTAAATAATTTCATTGTTGCCAAACACACGCTACCAGATTTATGACACACTAAACATAATGAACTAATTAATATTGGGGTGGAACGATTGGAACAATTTATGGAATTATTTCAATATATGGAAAAGTTTCGAATTATAAGAAGAAAAAAATACAAAAAAGAAATAAAATATAGAATGTGGACTCAAAGATTTGTAGTGGAATTTTTATATCGATAAGCTAAGAGTCATGATCTGAATATAATCTCTAAGCATAAGGATGTGTAAATAAAGCTGACAAATTGCACAAAGAGAGAGAAAATAACAGAACATTATTTATTAATATTCCAATAATAAAACCTCCTAAACAAATATCCTTTTCACCATTTTCAGTTATTTTATTCTTAAGTTTATCTATCTCATCGGACTACCCCTAATACAATCATTTGTCAAATACACTTACACGCACATGTACTCATATATACATACAAACTAGTTGAAATCTAAGGAGCCAAATACATTTCAATGGCAAAGTGAAAGCAGCACAGAGTGCGGAAGAATATGATTAATTCGAATACTTTTTTGTGGCTTTTGATATTTTTTGCACAACCCAACGAAAGTTCTGCAATTATTATTCTTTTTTTAATTTTGTTTACATTTTGACTTTGTGCGTTGATACCTTCAACAACAAAGACCACAAAAAATAGGAAAGGTGTGAGGAAGTTAAGCCCAAAATAGAACTCAAAGAAAATGCTGAAAATTAATGATGACAGAAAACAAATGGCCCCATGATATTTTCCCATAAAAAAGCTATACAAACACTTATACACGAATTACATGAGACAGAATTTTATTGAACTTGAACAACATTCTATAGGAATTTTGAGAGCAGGTTTGTGGCTGCAAAGAAATTTCGAGGTAGACCAATATTTTTAAATAAATTAATAAATAAGCAATGAAAGTATTAACATCTTATAAACGACTGCATAAGTGAGATCAAGATTCAATAGGTAATTAGTAGAGCGATTTCCACATAAATGTTATTGAGCTTGGATAATTATTAAATTTTTTTGAATGCTAATTATCGCCACTAAAGTATTTAATAATCGTCGTATAATTAAAATTTTCTCCTAAAAGTATGCTTATGTTTATAGAGAACTCTGAATATCACAAATCAGGATTTCTATAGAAATCGTGGGAAATCAGGAACGGAGGTCCTATATGTACAAAATACATTTCTGAAGGTTAGAACTATTTATATACGAGGCATCTGCAGTTTATATATCAAAGATCTCGGAAAGGTAAACAATTACAAACAACCTAAACGCAAATATACATTTTTCTCAAATAGTCCTCTACCCATAATGAATAGTTAACAGACGTTACTTCAACCTTCAGCATCAACCACCGAATCCTGGACCCACCTAAATGTGTTTAGGTTCGGTTACGAAATGTTGTATCAGTACTACTGTATGGGACGTGTGTCAAAATGTGGACCGATATTGACAATATTTCGTAGGGCGATGAGAAATGAGAACTGCAAGTGAGAACTTCAGAAGATCTCATAATAAGAATACAGGTTTACATGGGGTACATATTGGAAAATGCATTTGAGCCCTTCGGAGTATTTAAAATCTAGTGGGACTGTTATATGAGGAAAAGTGACCAAATATTATTTACTTTAAAGGTCCTGTTTACAAAAATTAGGTAAAAACCTGTTAGAAATTATGGCGTAATTGTTTCGAATACCCACGAAAATCAGGAGGCACAGTTTTGTTAACGTAGACCGATTCTAGCGTTAGGCTTTAAGATGAGGCTTTAAACGTTTAAGAAAAGATTACACATAATCTTAGAGTCATATGTAAATGTAGCATAGTTCTCCCAGCTCAAAAGAAACTATATATCACATACATGGTGAGATAAAAAAACTGTAACAAAGTCAAACACCATAATTTTTACATTTTTTTTAATTTTAATGAATGAAAGCAAAAAAAGTCGGAAATAGCATCAAATTTTAGAATAAGTTTAGAGTTGTTCGAATTGGTCACCTTTGGCACGAATTATCGTCTTCAAACGGCCAATGAAACCGCCACACTCTGCCCGAATGTTGCTCTGCGGTATTTTGGCCCATTCCCGGCGAAGCGCTTGCTTGAGGTGATCGGCACTTTGGTACCTTTTAGTGCCAACCTTGCTTTCCAAAATACTCCAGACACAATAGTCCAACGGATTGGTATCCGGAGATTTTGGTGGCCATTGTGTGCTGGAAATGAAACGAGGAACCTCGTTTTGTAACCATTCCTGGGTGGCGCGTGCTGATTCCTGTTGGAATATCCAAGGTCTGCGACCAAAATGTTTGCATGCCCAAGGCTTTAATACACCCTCCAGAATATTTTCTCGATAATTTTCGGCATTTATTCTGATGCAACGGTTCGATTCTGATGCCACGGTCGATTAATACGAGCGGAGTGTGACCATCGGCTGTTTTGGCGGCCCTCATCATCACCATGGCCGGCGCTTGAGTTCTGGTGGCCAACCAAAGGTTCACATTTTCTGCTGACCTCTTTGGCAGGTAGACACGATCAACGAATGTTTTCTCATCTGAGAAACCCAAATTCGGCAATTCACCACTTTCGGCCAAGCGAATCAACTCTTTAGCTCTTTTGTGTCTATTCTGTTTCTGTTGCGGTGTAAGTTCTTGGACTTTTTAGAATTTCAATGGCTTTATCCCGAGCTCATTTTTCAATATTTGCCGAATTGAATATTGCGATATGTTCAGCTCACGAGCCATTTTTCGGCCACTGCGACGCGGGTTTCTATCAAGTCGCTTCTTTGCATTTCGAATTATTTCTGCTGATGTTGCTGGTATCTTCCGTCCACTTCCTTGACGTCGAGCTACGCTACCAGTATCACGATAACGAGCGATGGTACAAGACACAAAAGATTTATTCACATTTAAATGCTGGAGGGCTCTAACGATAGCCACCTGTGGTTTTCCAGCCAAATATAGAGAAATCACACTATCACGCTTGAATTTCATCACGAATAACTTTTTTTTCTGGAAAATTCTCACCAAAATGCTTTTGTACGCTTGTAAAAAATATAATGAGCTGTCACTGGAATAATTTTAACAGTTGTCGGACTAGTGTCTTAGATCAGTCCTAAGTTAGTTGCAGTTTTTTCATCTCACCCTGTACTCACAAAATTTGAATATTTTTTCAATAGCACTAATTTAGTGAATTTTTAAATACCACTTAATTTAGTGGTAGTGCAATTAAATGTTTAGTGGTGGAGCTGATTAATTTTTCACTACCACTAACCCTTAGGTTAGAATAGTGATAGTGAAATTATTTGTGCGCTAAAAATATAGTGCAAAAATTAGTGGCGTGAGTCTCCTATGCCTTATAAAATCGAAATTCCACTCACACTGTACAGCATATTTTATTATGGCCATTTCAAAGGCCTGTCTTAACCTGTACCAGTACCTTCATTACTGGAATTATAGAAAACCTTGTTAAAATATACCCCACATGAGTTTTCTTCCTCATTCTTCTTCTTTATGTAAAACATTCCGGTTTATGTTTATGATTTCGGTGTAATTATGTTTATATTTACTGCCCTCGGAATTCCATCAATCAATATTAATTTCCTTTCGACCAACCACCACTTAACCCCCTCTAAAATCCTTTTTTTCTCGGTTTGCGCGTAATTTACAGTTAAACCATAAACATCAGCAAACTATCACAACTACCGTTTATTATGACAGATGAGGCCTCTAATTCAGGTTAAATTGTCATGTTTATAAGCATGGCAGACAGACGGACGGACAGAGGGACAAACAAACAGCCAGTCATAACGTGGTATTATTAAATTTTCATTACGGCCATTTGGCCATTGTTTTGTGGATTATGATTCGTGAAAAATGTCCTTCAACCAAATGTGTTTGGACGTGTATGAGAGTATGAGTGCGAATGTATATCTGTGTGTGAGTCAAAGTATTCCCCTTGACAAAACGGAAATGTCGCAGGTCAATTCGCTGTAATGTTAGTGGGATGTTTAACATGACATCGAACAAAATGGACATCGAGAGTTGCCAACAAGACATTGTCATAATATGGGGTGACCACTATTACCATTTGCTACCGTGACCCCAGGGCCATCAGGGAACTATGGAGATTAAATTAGCCTCAGGAAATCACCCTACCTTCACGAGGGTCATATGAAATATAATTTCATTAAACAACAACATTTTTAAGAAAATAGACGTTTTGGAGCAAGAGAAGATATGGAAGATCTATTTGATGTCAATCCTAAACGATATAAATGTATATATCGCGAATTTCCAATAATGCAGCACATTTTCTCCACTTATACCAAGCTTCTGCTTTTTTTTTTCGTGCAACCTTTTGTAACAGACATCTGCATCGACATATCATAAATCACACAATAAATTAACTACGCCTCTGATGCCTCCATTGCTGTTTAATTTCACGACTAACACTAGTGACCAGTGAGGAGGACAAATATAAAAAAAGCTCTGACAACAATCTGCACATATTAATTATTCCGTGTTTTTTCTTCTTCATTTTTTTGGTGCGATGAGATGAGGTATATTTTTATTATTAATTGCTCAAACGTGACAATAACACGTTTTAGACAACTATTTACCAATGAGATTGAACGGAAAGGACAAGTGGTTGGTTATGCGCCACATCACAGCATTGCCACATGCTCTCGCCGGAGATGAAGAAGAACAAATCATTCGATGTATGAGGACTGCTATTGGCTACATGGGAAACAGGGTACGTGTTTTCATGGTTTTCATGGGCAAATAATTTCGTTGGCAACAATGAGAATGACAATTTTGAATGTAATGGACGAATTCGCATGCATTATTGTAGTCGGATATTTGTTGTGGAGAGCCTTGGTCCAAAATATAGCTTTTTATA